TTCCTATCAATATTTCTGAACTCTAGGAAAGTCAAGGGATTGCTGAGGCTCGTTCACGCAAAGCGAGGTAAGCGTACATGGGCTGCTTTCGCATCACGCATTAGTGAGAAAGCGTCCACTGGAACTTACACCGCAAAAGCTAAACAAAGCGATTCGCCTACCTGTCGCTTTGTCCGTTTGATATATATTCATAGGACGGTGGTCTCCTTCACGCTGCCACACACAAGTACTGCTCTCGCCCCAACTTCAACATGGTCCAGAAGCAAGAAGTCAAGCCTTATCTGAACCTTCCTCAGCAACGGCCCCGGACACCGATCTTCACTGGTGACGCGAGCGCGAGACGAAGCTCAAGCTCCGTGACCCTAGGCCAACCAAGACCAGAAGGAGTGCCACTCACCACTCTTCTCTTGGATACTCCGCAACAGCTGAGGCGGATAATCTCGAACTTCGATGAGCTGGTCGTCCGTGATGCGGCTGTTCCGCACATCGTCATCAGGTTGAGCATTACGGTGAGTCCATCTCTGACGAGTTCCTCGGAATACGCAGGCTGAATGTTCGTACCACAGTGGCCGGGACACAAGAACCCAGAGATCGTTGTGTCAAAGCGTCTTCCCAGGGAGAACTGCAACTGTATCGGCGAGCTTGCAATCGAGTTCGCCAAGGAGTGCGTCGAAGCTCTGAAGGTAGGCATGAAATGATACATTGAACCAAACCTTGAACCAACTCGCTTACTTTTGTGTTCAAGGGCTGGGAAGGCCGCACAGAAGGAGATATCCCGCTCACACAGATATTCGACGTTGACAAGCTGAGCCTGGTTGCGATGTACTACGTCGCAGAGAGTGGCGGAGCTTACCATGCTGACGTCGAATCTACCTTGAGAGTTTAACCACGGGTTGTCACTGACCCAGAAACAGGGTACTCTGGTCGTTCGCTGGGTTTCGAGGTGTAGAACTCCTTCGAAGGAGGCGATGGTCAAATAGATTTGCTCGTCGCCTCCTTCAATTACGATAGGATACGCTGCTCTGGCTCCCGTTGTGATGCAACTTGGTCTCAGTAATAGCTGTGGTCATGCGGATGTTCATCCTGAGTATTTACCAAATCATTCGCACGGGTCCAAGTGTGCAGTGGTATGGGTGTGTATGATCTATTGAGTCTGAGTGGGGAGCTATCGGGCCGATCTCGCTAATACTTCCTTGGGGCCGCCTGAGGGATGTACGCTACATGACGAAGTTCACCTTCTCCCATGTCGGCCTCGAAGAGATGTCCGTCCACCATCTGACATGTGATATAGTTATGGTCAGTCCCCGCAAATCAAATAAATGGCTATCATCTAACCTAGCGATGTTGGGGTACCTTTCTGACTCGAGATAGTCGTAGCCTTGCTCCTTCAAGAGAGCGCCATACGGGAGATGGAACAGATCAATGAGTGTTCTTTCCTATTGATCACAATAACCAAAATATCAGCATGGCCCCATGCTACACATCAGGAGATGACTGCTCACGTTCCCGGCGACGTACTTTGACTTGGCCAACAATGCTTCATACCCTTCGAGCTTTCCTTCAAGAGCCGCCTTGTAATGTTGAACAGCAAGTTCGTTGGGCTCTCGACCATAAAGTCTACGAGGATGTAGACGTGTGTGAGTACTTACAGCTATCCAGTGACCGGGTCAGACCACGCTCACCTCTGGAAGATGTTTTCGTAAGCCAGTCCTGACGCACCCGGATCAAAGTTGCTCGTCTCTATGCTCGCCGCTTGTTCGAACAACGCCGTCTTCTGAATATCGGACGGGTCCGGAATGAGCTTCCCGATGCCGCCGTACTTGAGCGCGATGTAGCGGCAAATGGCGCGACTCTCGAAGAGCACGAATCCGTCATCGTCGATGTACGGGATCTGGCCGAAAGGCTGTATCTTCTTGTACTCCGGGTCGTGCTGCTCGCCTTTGAGGATGTCCACTACGATGAACTCGTATTGGACGTTCAACTCCTCGAGGACGACGCGGACGCGCTTAGCGCAAGTCGCACGAGCAAGACCGTAGAGTTTCAGGACCATCTCGGAAGTGGAGTTTGGAGAATGAGTTGTGTAGCCGTGGAATGCTGAGTACGGTGGAGACTCTGCCTTTTGAAGGAGGTAGGTTAAGGACTCCCCTTATATTCCCCTCTATTGGGTCTATGCGGCACACCTGCCATGAACATAGGACGACCATTGGGCCCCAGTCAGTCTTTGCATCATGCACATCTCCAACATCTGCTAATGCACCGCGAGAGACCTCTGCTCCGGTACTTTGGGGTCCGATAGGCACGGCATGAGATTGTTAAGCACACCCCAATGATTGACTATACGAGTGAGAGCCGCCCAGGCGACTAACCGAAAGACGCAAGCAGCGGGGCAAGTCGGACCCGCATAGCGCGCAAAGGAGTCACAACCATGTCTTGGCTTGACATAAGTTAGACAGGCTCGCCGTGGGATCTCCTCGAGGACTGCATAAGGGTTGCCAAGATGAATAATTTGCTGACTGAGATGTGCGTGTACCACAACCGGCCATACGTTGGGGTGAGGGGAGCAGTGAGTAGATTGACGCGAGAGGAATGCTAGTAATTCCTGGGGGGGCGGAGCAATCGTCATGCACGATTTGTTCAGACGTTCTGCGCACGTCGCGCGATGGCCTACTTGCGGCGGCGAGATTGCTGACACTGCGTGTCGGGCGAGGAAGATGAAGCCGACGAGGACTGGGCGCCTGAGTTCTGCAACAACGCACTGCAGGGCGGAACTGGACAAATTAGGCCGCGGTGCGAGTTTGACATCGCTGTCGCACCCGCATTCCGATATGGTTACACTACTGTACAAAGTCCGATAAGTGTCAGTTCTCTCTCTATCCCGAATCAAACCTTCGTATCTCTTCACGCATCTTCCTGAGCTCCGTTGGAAGCAGTGTTCTCGAGACGAGACGGACCTTCCCGCCAAGACTCGTGCCCGGAACTTCAACGACGCGTTCGGGGCCGACATGAGTCTCGCCCTCGATCCATTCGCCACCGAGCTCGACGTCGTCCTTTGCGCCCTCCGGTGCCACGTCCTCGTTCAATTGCATGAGCATATCCAGAAAGGCAGCATTCCGTTCATCATCATCGTTCACGCGAGGGTTGGCACCTTGGCTCTCTGGCTTGCAAACACGCTTGTGCAGCAGCCAGTCCTGTACGTGCCGACGAACGAGCGTCAGACCACACAGCACGCATTTGACTGGTAACTGGAGACCTCGGTACTCACCCGCTTCTGGCACTCTTTGCTGCAGTAGTGCGGCTTCAGGTCGGGCGGACACCTACCGCCGCACGCCCTGAGCGCAGACTTGTGCAACCCCTCGACCTTGCAGCCCTCCGCGGCGCAGACGTACGCGTTTGCCCCCTTCGCGACCTTCGCCCGGCGCCTTCGCTCCTCGGAAACGCACTCTTCGTCGCGCCTGCGCAGCACGTCCCACAGTGGCCTGAACTGGAGGATTTTGTCCGTGTCGCCTCCGACGCGCTCGACGACGTTCTTGACGCCCCGGCCGACCCAGAGGACGGCAGCGCTCACGAGTCCGAGCTCGATGGCGTGCGTCGCGTGCACAGCTGCGAAGACCAAGGAAGCGTACGGGAGCTCGCCAGCAGGGTTGAATGGGCGCTGGAAGCGATGAAGCTCGGCATGGTTCTCGGCGCGCTGCTCGTCCGTGTCGATACACCACTCATCCCAGTACGCCTGCGCGGCTCCGGAGTGCGCTTTCGCGCGAATGTCGGCGAGTGCGGTGTTACCGATGTAGTTGGGCCCGGAAGCGAACTCGTCCGTGAGCATGTCGAACATGTAAAGCGCGCCTTGTATGCTCGGTTTACGCACGCCACAGCCGCTCAGGTAGCTAGCATAACAATGACGATAGGGGTGAGTCGGGGAAGAGCGAGAGAGACCAATTCTCCACGCACCGAAAACCGACCTCGAGGATTGCTCCTGGATCGTGTCTGTCAACATCGCGGGAGACAACTTTGCTCGGATGCTCCTCGAGGAACCTCGAGCACTCGCGCAGATATTCGTGGTTGTCCGGCCGGTCGTTGTACGGGTAGCAACAGTTCAACTTGATGCTGCTGTACTCTGCCATTCTGTCGAAGAACGGCATGTCGTCGTCCACGCGTCGGACTTCAACGTGCATAGTTCGAATCGGCTCCCGCCCTGTGCCCGACTCGCCACAGTCCGGCTTTGAGTCTTTGTTCTTCGGTCGGCATCGAGTCTGAGGCATAGTGTGCCAATACTATGCAACGCGTCCGTTAACCTCGCGAGTCAACAACACTTCACGTACACACCAGAGGGTTGCTACAGTTTGTGAGAACAACCAGAGGTGATGGAAGGAGAACAAGGCGAGATCGCTCGGTTACTGCAATGTTCAGAATGATACGGAATCTCGTTTTGCGTGCGCGCGAGCGCTACCCGCTCATGTGGCTGTACCGGTCAACCGGAGACTTACAAGAAGCCGACTCCGAGAAGTGGTGACTGGTCACACATCTCTGCATTGGCACGAGGAGCCCACATTAGAGGCTCGGAAGCCCTGCAAAAATGCTTGCTTATGCTCCGTATAAATGCGCGCACAACATCTTGCTGAGTCGTCCTGTTATAAGAGAGGAACACGGGGTCACAAGAAGTGACTGGATGTCACCGCGTGACCCTAAGGGCGCTCGGTCCTCGAGGCCCGGGATCCGAGTCCTCCAGACGCTGGATCAAGCGCGGGCGCGGGCGTGCGCACGAAAACGCGAATTCCGTATCAAAATGGACATTGCAGTAAGGCGCTTGTCGAGTTTGATGGTAAGCTAATACTTACGAGACTCCTTAGTTGGAATGTAACAGTGCATGAGTTGGGCAGGCTTGAGATGTTTCAGTAGCCAAGGTTTAGGACGACGTGGACCCTCGTGGATCACATTCGTATTCTTGTTCTTGCTACCAACGTGGCGGAGACGTGCATGGAAGTGCTATGCGATTTTGCCAAAAAGGGCCCAACCGGGAATTGAACCCGGGACCCCGCGCATTTGGGCACCTGGAGTGCCGGGATTACACCCGAAGCGCGTATCATACTACTAGACCATTGGGCCATAAGCCCAGAAGCACTACAGTTGCATCCACAGAGCAACTCCTCTGAAAGGAAAGGTCTCGCACTTTCTACTATCAGTCTAAATCACTGTGGCCCTCTCATTTCGTGCTCATGTTCTCGACTGAATGCGCTCGGAATGCGCCTCGAGGCGATCTTGCGTCTTGCACTGCCAGCGGCGAGCCAACCCACGCATGCAGCGACATAATGAACCTAAGTATGAGATGTGAGATATGTAGGTGAGTCTCGGATCCTGTTCCAGAAATTGCTCGCCTCGTTGTGCCCTCGTGGAGCTCGCGCTGCGCGTGGACTCTTTAGAGTCTCGCATGCTCACTACTCTTCTCCACCACTAGGACATTTCTCTCTCACTTGCCATGTCGGACTACAATGAAGGCCAGTACAGAGACACCGGCAGTCTCTATCCCGACTCCCAGTTCGGTCGACAAAGCGGCGCGTATGGGGCTCGTCGTGCTCCACGTTACAGCCGCCCCAGCAATCCGAGCTGGGTCTCGAATGGCAATAACTTCCTATCGCCCCCGACCTACGCGCGACCGCCCTCGTCGGGTTCCTCGCGCCCTCTCCCTGTCCCTACACGTCCAGTTTCGCCCGCCCCTTCCCGCGGCATGTCCGACTTCCAGCCCCATCACCCATCTCCCTCAGAACTTGGTCCAGACCCGCAACCGGAGACCTACACCGTTGGATTTACATCAGAATCTCGAGATGAGCGCGAGTGGGAAGAGGAGACCATGTCGATTGGGCAGAGCGTGAACGGTGAGGAGTACAACCCTGCTTGGCACCATCCGCGACCCAGCCCGGAGCAACAGGTGGTGTACGAGAACGCCCCGTACCCACCCTACCCAGTTATCCCGCAAGAGCAGGAGCTGCTTCAGGAGACGCTGCAGGAGACGAAGCCGAAAGGTGGGAAGACCTTTGTGGGAGGGTTCATAGCCGGCTTGCGCAAGATTCCTAAGGCCGTCGTCAAGAGCCACTTCTACGACCGCAAGGCGACCCGGAAGGGCGCGCCTGGCACCGAACTCGAGACGGGTCCTTCACATTTCCTCCCTTCCTACGAGGAACCAGGAACCTCCATCCAACATCCGGAGAGCGTACAATACGTGCAGGGCATGGACATGCCAATCGCATCCAAACCCCCGACAGAGGTTCCCTATGGGGACCCCGTGGGACAAAGCAGCCTGCAGCGCCTGAGCCAGCAACCCTCGCCGCGCCGTAGTGGTGCATCCGCTCCACCGATTCTCAGCGTCCCGAACAGCCCGCGCTTCCAGCCCCCAGAGGCGGTGGCGGTCGAACCCCTGCCTGCGAGCGACTATGCGAAGATGGACTCGCCCATCCGGTTCGCGCCCCCAGACGACTCGTTCAGCGTGCACGTCACGCGTGTGCGCAAGTTCTTCCGCGAGCTCAAGGACCTCCCATGGACGTCGGAGCGCGTGGCGGTCGACTACGTCCCCGCAAAGTCGAGCCGGGCACACACCGGGAAGGCGAAGCCGAAGGGCTCGTGGTACTCGATCAACAAGCTCCAGGACATTGACCTCCTCGCGCCCGCGCCCGCGCCGGGGTCCGGGCGCACGGCCACGCTCCGGCTGCGGAGCGAGGATGGGGGGACGACTGGGAGCGTCCGCTCTACCGCGCGCGTGCAGCAACCTGACGGGCGTACACCGCTGAGCTACATGACCTCTCCTGGCTTATTCCCGTCGCCTGGAGCGTCCTCACACGGCCAGGGCCAGCACGTGATGTCCTACAGCTACTACTTCACGCCTCCACAGCCGCTCTATGTCTACCAGTCGCCGATGACCGCGCCGCTGCACGGTACGGGCTCGTCGTCTTCTTCCATGTCATCGCCCGAGGTACACCAGGCCGTGCCGGTGTTCATGATGGCAGGCCCTCCTCCGGGCCTATTACCCTCGCCTCCTCCTGCTGTCCATGCCGCACAGCACCACCAGGCGACGAGAGCAACATCGCCGCCGTCGCATGTGCCTTCCGCGCGGCCGGTATCTCATGCACGGCAGTCGCGCCATTCAGGGTCGAACTCGCATTGACCGTCCCCAGGGCTGGCTGCTGTTCGCTTTGCGCTGCTGTACGATTGACCTTCTGCTCACGAACAGGTGTATTATGTTGCTGTATTCTGATGTGTCTCGCGTTCTCGTGTTGTATTCCCTCTTATTACTTACAGGCGCTAGGAGTCTTATTCGGTCCCCGTTTGAGTCTGACACACCCCCGGTGAATCACTCCTGCGGACCGTTGTCTTGGAGGCGGACTTTGGGCTCGATCGCAATGTCGAGCGATATAGTTCGCGCGCGCGAACGTGCAGCGCGCTTGTTCTCCCCCTCCTCGTGCTCGTCCGACCTCCCCGTCAAGGCCTTGAAGTCGTCTGGTGTCCCGCAGCCATGTCCGCCCAGTCTCCCCTCATCACCTTCAAGACGACGGACTTCTGGTTCGCAGACGGCAACATCGTCCTGCTCGCGGAGGATGTCGGTTTCAAGGTGCATCAAGGCCAGCTCGTCCGCCACTCGGAGATCTTCAACGACATGTTCTCGCTCCCCCAGCCCACCACAGAGATGATCGACGGGTGTCCATGGGTGCGGCTTCATGACGATCCATCGGACGTGCTCCACCTCCTTCGGGCTCTCTACGATGGGCTGTGAGTGCTTCTCGCGCGCGGCTGACATGTGGCAGAACTGACGTTCATCTCACACCTCACACAGGTACTTTGCCACACCCACCGCAGGCGACTTCTGCGCCATCTCCGCTGTTCTACGCATGTCGACGAAGTACTTCATTTCCCATCTCCGCGAGCGATGCTTGGTGCGCCTCGAGGCAGACTGGCCGACGACCCTCCTCGGCTGGGACCAGCGCGAGCAGCAGGCCACCGCCGACGGCCGCTACAACCCGCGCGAGGAGTTCCCGCACCCCGTGCTCGTCATCCAGCTCGCGCAGGAGCTGCACCTCGACCACATCCTGCCCTCCGCGTTCTACGACCTCTCGCGGTACGGCCCGCGCAAGATCGCCGCGGGCGCGTCGACGGTCCCCTCGCTGCTCCCCTCGCGCTACCGCACGCACATGGCGGACCCGGACTCGGAGACGTGCGTGCTGCGGCTGGGGGCGGCGGACCTGCACACGACGTTCAGCGGGCGGGAGGAGGGGCAGCGGTTCCTCGCGGCGTTCATCAACGCGGAGCTGTCGGAGCGTGCGGTGAGCGCGAACTGCCAGAACCGGCACCACGCGGACGGGCACCACTGCCGGGAGTCGTTCTACTTTGTGATGCTGAACCTGCTCCGGGCGGTGGGCGGGATCGCGACGGGGCGGGACGCGGACCCGCTGTTCTCGCTCATGCAGGCGGCGGAGATGCTCTCGCGCACGGACTTTTCGGACGGGACGCGCCAGTGCGGGCTGAGGATCTGCGCGGTGTGCAAGGAGGACTTTTCGCGCGCTGTTGCGCGCGCGAGGAGGGAGGCGTGGGAGATGATCCCCGTGTGGTTTGGGCTGCAGCAGGCCAAGGGTGCGCCGTCGCAGGGGCCGGTGTCGATGCTACCTGAGCTGGAGGGTTGAGTGGGGTTCGTCCCTTGTTCGTGCGAGGCTGCTGTGTTTGGTTTGTGTGCTGCTACTGTGGTTGCTATCGTCTGTGATTGCTCTTGTATCGTTCTTCCTCTTCTCATCACCTACCGTTAATACCACATCCATACCACCCACATCCAGTCCACATGCTAGTTATGTATCATGACTTGTACCGTCGATCTTTGCTGCTCTGTATCTTTGCAATGTGTATCGCAACCTCCATCTCTCCCTGTTTATCCCCTATTCCTCTCGTGACAATCCATGTCACTACCCAGTGGCAGTAAGTCGGACCGGAAACTGAGAGCGAGTGTGATTTCTCCGCGGCCGTCCTGATTCTGTCAGCGGAGAATGCGGGGATGGACGGGCGCTAGTTGCGGGTGCGGGGTAGAATTCACATGGGTCGGGACGACCGAGGGACCGGCCGCTCACATCATCGCCGAACGAGGCACGTCGGTCGGCCTTAAATCCTGCGTCTGTCCCGGACCCCTCACCTTCACCCTCTCCCCGCCATCCCTCACGACCACCACGTACGCTCGCTAGTCGCCCGCCATGTCCTCCATCACGCAGCGCATCCAAAATCTCGCCGCCTTCACGCCCAAGGCGCGCGCACTCGCACAGAACGACGATGACGTCGTCATTGTCGCCGCCGTCCGCTCTGCAATCACCAAGGTACGTGTATTGTCGTACTCTGAAGGGTCGTGGACATGTTGGACACCGCCTCAGACAAGGGGAAGGAGGGACTGACGCGTCGAACGCACAGGCAAAGAAGGGCGGATTCAAGGACACCCGGCCAGAGGAGCTACTCTCGGGCGTGCTCAGCGCCGCCGTCAAGAAGGCGGGCATCAACCCTGCTATCATCGGCGACATTACTGTCGGGAACGTCCTCCCCGCTGGTGGAGGCGCAACCGCTGCCCGCATGGCCGCCCTCCACGCAGGCATCCCCAACACTGTCCCCATCAGCACCACCAACCGGCAATGCGCGTCCGGTCTCCAGGCGGTCAACATCATCGCGAGCGAGATCGCGACGGGGCAGATTGACATTGGTATTGGTGAGTACGACTCGTTGTATGCGTTCTGCCGGCCCTTCCTTATGCATGTATGCTATGACGTCGTGAAGGCGCTGGTGTCGAGTCCATGACCTTCGGCTACGGCGGCGGCGCGATGCCCGACGGGTTCTCGGAGGCCGTTCTCTCGTGCCAGGAGTCGGAGGACTGTCTCATCCCGATGGGTATCACATCCGAGAACGTTGCGGCCGACTTCAACATCCCGCGCTCGGTGCAGGACGAGTTCGCCGCCAAGTCGTTCCAGAAGGCCGCTGCAGCGCAGAAGGCTGGCAAGTTCAAGGACGAGATTGTTCCCTTGAAGGTCAAGCTCGTTGACCCGAAGACGGAGCAGGAGTCCGAGGTCGTTGTCGACCGCGACGATGGTGTTCGG